CTGACTTGACTGATGCATGTTTTAGCGTGCCTAGGGGATTTTAGTCTCGCGTGCGGCTTATATACATGTTTATATGAAAATATTAGGTGTTTACATCTAAAAATATTTACAATGAGATTCTCAAGTATACTGTATATCTTACACAGTTTATATATTAATGTTGATGTGTATATCTATAATTATGTGAATGTTTAACTATGTTTACTGTATATACGAATGTGTATATTTACGTGAAAATGTTAGTGTTTGTGTATATCTTATATGGCTGTATAGAAATGTTTATGTAAATATATATTTTAAAAAACGAATAATACGTTTATACGTTTGTGTATATATGAGAGTATTAAGTGTCAAATATTCACACAACAAGAAAGTGGAGAGCGGTGTGTGTGTGGGGGGAGGGGGGGGGTGATGAGTAAGGTAGGATCGATCCGTCCACCTGCACACGATATATGTAGTAATCACATCTCTCCTAGAACTACTCCCCCTACCCCTCCTACCTCCTCCTCTTCCCCAGACAACCAATTAATTTATCAATAACTTCCACTCCTAGCGGCTCACTTATTGGCGGGTCCGGTGTTTCGATTCCTCGGACAGGTCGAGTCACAGCTTCAGATGTAAAAGGATTCGAAGCTTCAGACGTAAAGGGGTTCGAGGATTTGGATGCTGGGTTTCGAGGACTCAGATGTGAAATATTTTCAGGCTTCAGAAATGAAAGATTTAATGGTTTCAGATGTAAAGGAATTTCGAATATTTGGATGTAGGAATTCGAAGCTTCGTAATCAGGGGGTTACAATGTTTCAGATTTAGGGTTTCGAGGAATTGGATGTATGGTTTCCAGGCTCCAGACAAAGAGTTTCGAGGCTTCAGACATAAAAATTTCGAGGCTTCAGACAAAGAGGTCGAGGTTTTAGACAAAGAGTTTCGAGGCTTCAGACATAAAAGGTTTCGAGGCTTGAGGATTAAGGTAGTTTAGTTCTACAAGTTCCAAGACTCTATAAAAGTTAAAAGGATTCACGAGTTCCGAGCCTACACAACTAAAGTTCCAGGAGTCCAAAAGTCAAGTACCGAGGCTCCACGAGTAAGGCTCCGAAACTCCACAAGTAGAGTCGCGAAGCCCACCAAGTCTTGGAGTGTGGCGCCTTTTAATTAGCTTTAAGTGGAGAATAAACTGCTCTGTATTGGCTGGAGTTTCAACAATAACTTTTAATTGGTGTCGAGCCATAGTCGACCACAGCGATGCGTCTACATTGTGGGACATGGGGGAGGAGGGGTGTGTGGGGAGGAGGGGTGTGGGGGGTAGGGGAGAAGGAGGGGCTGGGGGGGATGGGTGTGGGGTGGGAGGTGGGGTGTGGGGTGGGGTGGAGGTGGGGTGTGGGGCGGGGGGAAGGATGAGGTGGGGGAGGGAGGGAGGGGAGAGAAGGTGGGGAGGGGGAGAGAAGGTGGGGAGGGGAGAGAAAGTGTGGAGTAAGGGAGAGAGGGTGTGGGATGGGGGGTGTGGGGGATGGCAGGAAGGGGTGTGAGGTGAGGGAGGAGGGTGTGGGGTGGGAGGTGGGGTGGAGGGGAGGAAGGTGGAGGTGGGGGGAGGGAGGGGTGTGGAGGGGAGGTGGGGTGGGGAGGTGGGGTGTGGGGTGGAGAAGGTGGAATGTTGGGATGGGGAGGTGGAAAGGATGAGGGAGGGGTGTTGACATGGAGAATTGAGAGAGGCATGTGGGCGTGGGGATGGGAGGGGTGTGGCCATGGGGATGAGAAAGATGGGGAAGGGGTGTGGGCGTAGGGATGAGAAGGATGAGGAAATGTGTGTGTGTGTGTGTGTGTATTTGTAATAACACATACAGGATGACGGTACACACACAAATGGTCAAGAACCTTGGGGAGACTCACACCAGAGAGAAATGCCTAACAACAACAACAACATTATTATTGTTATTATTAGTAGTAGTAATTACTCATTTTATCATTACCAGTCATTTGCATCAAGCTGGCAGGGTGAGATTTGCCGAGAACGAACACAAATGTCGATGAAGTCAGCCACAACAAGTTTACTGTGTGTGTGTGTGTGTATGTGTGTGTGTGTGTGTGTGTGTGTGTGTGTGTAGTCAGGTAATTACCCAGCAGTAAACGATTTCCTTTAGATCATTGACTTAAGACACTAATTAACACACTAACTGAGGCTCCAGACTTTAAAAAAACGAAGAGTAGGAATAATTAAACCTGATAATGACCTTTGAGCGATGGGTTGAAATTAATGTAAGAGTCATTACCAGACCAAATTACCCCAATTAAACATTTTTGAGGCCTTGCAGCGTTTAATTTCCCAGAGAGAGAACTGTACCACTAGTCTACTGTATGTATACCTGCACTGTGTATGCATATTGTTTGTATTACTTCACTCTCTATGTATAGTTTGTATTACTTCACCATCTATGTATTTCTGCATATACGTGGCACTGTATATGTATACTGTTTGTATGCCTGCACTGTCTATTCACATTGTTTGTATACCTGCTGTATCTATGTATATTGTTTGTATACCTTCACTGTCATATATTATTTATATACCTACATTATGTGCTGTATATTATTTGTAAACACCTACACTCGCTCCAAAAAGCTTCTTTAGAATTCTGTGTGAGACATTATGACACAACGGACTAAAGATTTTGACAACCCTACCGAGACAACAGAAATCGCAGTGTTCATATTGAAATCCACTGAACCCCTGTAGAAACTTTTTGGAGCGAGTTACATGCTCAATCAATGTGACTTGTACAACGATTTACTGAATGAATATCTACCACTCCATCGCTGTGCCTCCGACAAGCTGAGATAAATGTACGTTTGACCAACCTTGTATAGACCAAACCACGACGGCACTTAAGTTTATTGAGTTAGAGGCGAGCCCGTCGTCTATGGTGCCAGGACGATTGGGAAAAAAGCGGTGACTCGTTTAATGCTGAAACCGGGTATAGGTTTTCATATAACACGAAAACAAGACTTTTGTTATAATGCGGACATTGCCGCATGTCTAGTTATAACGTTAAAACTGAAGTATAAGGCTCGCTATATTGCTCGTTATAATGCAAAAATTGGTGAATTCTCTCGCTATAAAGCAAATTTAATTAAGAGATTCGTTTTAATGTTAAAAAATGAAGTATATAGCTCGTTATAACACAAAAACTGGCGTACAAACCTCGTTATAACGCAAGAACTGACGTACAAATCTTATTATAACGCAAAAACTGGTGTACAAATCTCGTTATAATGCAAAAACTTATTACGAGTCTAAATAACAGGAGCACTAGCATGGCTCTCGTCAAAACCCTTAAGCTGCTATACAACACTGAGTATAAAATTATCGAAACGTTAATAATGATGAACATGATTTGATATATCACTAAAAGGCGCATATAGGACTCGTTATAACACTAATATTAGACTATAAGACCCGTTATAACACGTACATAAGACTATAAGACCGTAAAGCTAAAATCAGACTATAAGACTCGTCATAACGGAAATTGGACTATAAGACTCGCTACAACACGTAAATTGGACTATAAGACTCGTTATAACACGGAAATTGGACTATAAGACTCGCTACAACACGTAAATTGGACTATAAGACTCGCTACAACACGGAAATTGGACTATAAGACTCGCTACAACACGTAAATTGGACTATAAGACTCGCTACAACACGTAAATTGGACTATAAGACTCGCTACAACACGTAAATTGGACTATAAGACTCGCTACAACACGTAAATTGGACTATAAGACTCGTTATAACACGGAAATTAGACTATAAGACTCGCTACAACACGTAAATTGGACTATAAGACTCGTTATAGCACGGAAACTGAACTATAAGACTCGCTACAGCATTCCTTATACATAAAAGTTTCCAATTCTTGTTTCCATCGGCGACTATGAACATAAATTTCTCAGATTCTATCATTCTTCTCCAAGGAAATTACACACGATAAAACGAAAAGAAATTAACCGTCAGTGAATATTTCATAAAGTATTTTGCAATTGAATTTGATATAAGGTGTACTGGACGACCCAAGTAGTAGTGGTAGTGGTGGTAGTAGTAGTGGTAGGGGGGCAATGGAGAGATGGAGCGAGAGAGACTTGTGTGGTGGTGGAGGTGTGGTAGTGGTGGTGGTAGTAGTAGTAGGTGGTAGGTGTAGTAGTAGTAGTGGTAGTGGTGGTGGTAGGTAGTGGTAGTGGTGGTAGGGGGTATGGAGAGATGGAGGGAGAAAGACTAGGTGGTGGTGGTGGGTGGTGGTGGAGGTGTGGTGGTGGTGGTGGAGGTGTGGTAGTAGTGGTGTGGTAGAAGTAGTGGTGGTGGTAGTAGTAGTGGTAGTGGTGGTGGTAGTAGTGGTGGTAGTGGTGGTGGTAGTAGTGGTAGTGGTGGTGGTAGTAGTGGTAGGGGGTGATGGAGAGATGAAGCGAGAAAGGCTAGGTGTTTGTGGAGGTGTAAAGGTTGGTGGCGGTGGTGTGGTGGAGGTGTGGTGGTGTGGTAGTGGTGGTAGTGATGGGCGGGGTTAAAGTTCGGCGTGTTCATCCCTGGAGGTGTGTGTAATCTACCGGCCATTTAACCTAATTTAGAAGCCATTTAACCTAATTCAGAAAAGACGTAAGGCAATTTAGGATCTATTTAGAGGTGAATTACAAAGTCACTTAAAGTAATTTAAAATTCGCTGGACAATTCATAAGATACATTTCAAGAACTTCCAACGTTAATTACAAAGACTTAAGAAGGAGAGTGAGTGGTTCGACATCAGTGTATTAACCGTGTATAATGGCGGCTCACTAGTAACTAAAACCCGCGTAAAAAATTCAAAACCACATTGTTCTTACCTGTACACTTGTGGCTCACCTGCACACCTAGGAGAAGTATGACTCTTCTGCACACTTGTATGGAATGTGGCTCACCTGGCTACAGTGTCTCACCTGGCCGGAATATCTCTCACCTATCTGTAGTCTCTCACCTGAACGTTCATGATGGTGGTGTCCTCGACGACGATGACATAACGTGTGGGGGCAGGACGCACGAAGGTCAGGGTGGGGGTCACGTCCCTCGTTGCCTCTCCCCCGAGGTTGCTGCCAGACCAACACGTCATTAATAACAAACATTATCATCATTATTAATACTCTCATCATTACTACACTATATATTAATTCACTATACATTGTTAATACGCTTTTCTCATGATGATCAACACTTGCCTTATTTAGTACCCATATAATTAAACAAGATAACAGCACTAAAGCTTGTTAGTACCTCGGGTTAACACACACCTCACTGTCTCTCTTTATACCTGAGATAAATACTGCTCGAGGGCTGATGTTCTCATACTGAGGGGTTAAGTCATCGTACTCAAGGGGTTAGGTTATCATACTCAAGGGGTCAAGTTATTATACTCAAGGGGTTATCATACTCAAGGGGTTAAGTCATCGTACTCAAGGGGTTAGGTTATCATACTCAACGGGTCAAGCTATTATACTCAAGGGGTTAAGTCATCGTACTCAAGGGGTTAAGTCACCATAGTCAAGGGGGTTAGGTTATCGTATTCAAAGGGTTAAGTCATCATTCTCAGAGAGGTTATGCGATGAAAAATGAAAACACCAATTCTATACGATGCAAAAAAGTCTCTAGAAATGTCCTATAAAGTTCCATCAAGTTACATCAAGTTCTGTCAAGTTCATCATCAGTTTTAATTCCCCTCAGGTCAAGGTCATGTGTTATGTAAAACTTACTCGGAACTTTTCTACCTTTTCCTCCATTACAGAAATTTAAAAGTTTTTTCCCCGACTTGACGACCTAATGAATACTCTGACTGTGCTGGCGATATGAGGTAATTAATAAAGCAGGTGATATCGTTACCACCTGAAGGGAAACTTAGTACACCTTGTTAGGTATCGCTATTAGCAAGTTTATCGTCATAACCTGAAGATATCGTAATTTAGTATGGCTGAAGATGGGATATTAACGACAAATTTTTCCTAACCTAACTTAACTTAACCTAACTTCACTCAACCTAACTTCTTGACTTAACTTTACTCAGCCTAGCTTAACCTAACTTAACCTTCCTTAACATAACTACTTACTGTCAGCTCATTAACCACTTACTGTCAGCTCATCAACCACTTACTGTCAGCTCATTAACCACCTACTGTCAGCTCATTAACCACTTACTGCCAGGCCATTAACCACTTACTGTCAGGCCGTTAACCACTTACTGTGAGCTCATTAACCACTTACTGTCAAGCTCATTAACCATCTACTGTCAGCTCATCAACCACTTATTGTCAGCTCATTATACCACTTATTGTCAGCTCATTAACTTATTGTCAGCTCATTAACCACTTACTGTCAGCTCATTAACCACTTACTGTCAGCTCATTAACCACTTACTGTCAGCTTATCAACCACTTACTGTCATTTATTAACCACCTACCGTCAGATCATCATCAACCACTTACCGTCAGCTCCATTATACCACCTCTATTGTCAGTTCATTAACCACTTACTGTCAGCCCATCAACCACTTAATAACAAATATTAACCACTTACTGTCAAGCTCATATTAACCACCTACTGTCAAGCCCATAATCCACCTACCGTCAGCCCATCAACCACTTATTGTCAGCTCATATTATACCACTTATTGTCAAGCTCATTAACTAACCGTCAGCTCATTAAATCCACTCTACTGTCAGCTCATTAACCACCTAATGTCAGATCATCAACCACTTAATAGTCAAGCTCATAAACCACTTATTGTCAGCTCATTAACCACATACTCGTCAGCCTCCATCAACCACTTACTGTCAGCTCATCAACCAATTTCACTGTCAAGCCTATAAACCACTTATTGTCAGCTCAACCACATACTGTCAGCTCATCAACCACTTACTGTCAGCTCATTAACCACTTACTGTCAGCTCATTAACCACTTACTGTCAAGCTCATACACCACTTACTGTCAGCTCATTAACCACTTACTGTCAGCTCATTAACCACTATCACACTCCATCTTTACAGTAAGCACACATTAAAAACAACCTATATCACAAATTCCTTTCATTGTGAGTTTAATTACTTTATTCGCTAATTACACCCTGCTTACTAATTATCCCTCTTAATTACTCTTTACGACACACATAATGTTATAAGTTTCGACAGATACGTATCGCCGTGATAATAGTCGTCCTTGTCTTCCACACACACACACACACACACACACACACACACACATACATACACACATATAAACACACACACACACACACACACACACCCTATAGTGGCAACTTATCACCCTGCAGTTGGCACCCTGAGTAACTCTTCGCCGTGTGGCACTGAAGGCCAGAAGAGATAGATTAGTAAAGCGAATTAATTGAATAAACTCAGCCAATACCTGAATAATAATAAATTTAAGAGCGTTTAATGTCCAATACTTATGCAAAATATGTCGACGTATGCAAATGTGTGATTGATCAAAAAAATAAGTAAAAAAAAATATATATATATATATATATTAGTGTAATTATTCCCGGTATTTTATAGTTTTAATTAAATTTTCCCGAGACCTATAAGGCTTTTTTAAATACCCTAAACACTTAATAAAATATAGATATAACAGGGAAATATTCAGCCGGAAATTCCCCAGCCGACATTTTCGTTATCAAGAGTTTGTTCAGTATTGATGGTGTTGATTAAATGATTTTTTTTATTTTTTTTTATTATTTTTTTTTTTAATTCCTTCCAGGGTAAACTTTTTAACTCCTTTCCTTGAAGTCAACTCGATAGTGAGACGAAAAGTTTGCCATGAAGTATTCAACATTCTCCTCACATTACTTTGATGGAGCTTTAAGTCCCCGAGATCCATAAACCCTGGTGAACACACACACACACATGCACACTACACATACAACACATACATACATACATACATATATATATACCCACACGCACACACACGCACACACACACACACACGAACACACAGACACACACACACACACACGAGGGAGGAAGGTCTCGTTTTAAGAACTTAACCACACCAAACCTAACATAACTTAACCTAACCTAACTTAACATAATCTAACATAACCTTACCATCCCTTAGCAAAAACCTAACCTAACCTAATTTAACTTAACCTAACCTCACCAGAAGTCATTCTCTCCGTTAGTCTATCAGTCTACCTTGTCAGTCAGTCTTTCTCTCTGTTATTCTCTCTCTTCATCAGACTCTCTCTCTATCTCTCTCTCTCCCTCACTCACCTGTTGTTAGAGAAGTCCGGGTGCTGTAGGAGGACGTCCCACACAGATCGGTGGGTACAGAGGGCGTTGTGCTTGGTGGGAGGGGAGGACCTATGGGTGGCGGCGTCACAGAACTGGGTCACGTGAGGCAGGTGATGAAGGTACATGAGAGATGACGTCACGCCATCGTTGTTACCTGCGCTGGGGGTAAAGCGGCATGACGACTCCCGGTAATCGTCACATGCGGACCTGAGGAAGAGAGATATGAGAGATAATGGGGTTGTGTGGTGAGATTTAGAGAGACAGGAGAGATTTTGTGGTGAGATATGGAGAGACGGGAGAGATTTTGTGGTGAGATATGAAGAGATGGGAGAGATTTTGTGGTGAGATATGGAGAGACGGGAGAGATTTTGTGGTGAGATATAGAGAAACGGGAGAGATTTTGTGGTGAGATATGGAGAGACAAAGAGATGCTGTGATGAAATTCTGGAGAGATAAGAGACACATGTATTATAAAACAGTTGGAAATGATGATGTATTTCTTAAATGACCTGTTTTTTTAAGTATACATATACATATATGACCTTCCTCCACCACCCACACCCACCTTCCTCCACCACCCACACCACCTTCCTCCACCACCCACACCACCTTCCTCCACCACCCACACCACCTTCCTCCACCACCCACACCACCTTCCTCCACCACCCACACCACCTTCCCCCTCCACCACCCACACCACCCTCCACACCCACACCACACCTCCACCACCCACACCACCTCCACCCCACCCACACCACCTCCCTCCACCACCCACACCACCTTCCCTCCACCACCCACACCACCTTCCCTCCACCACCCACACACCTTCCTCCACCACCCACACCAGCTCTCCACCACCCACACCACCTCCACCACCACACCACCCCACCCACACCCCACCCCACCCACACCACCTCCACCACCCCTCCACCACCCACACCACCTCCCTCCACCCACACCACCTCCACCACCCACACCTCCACACCACCCACCACCTTCCCTCCACCACCCCACACACCTTCCCTCCACCACCCACACCACACCTCCACCACCCACACTGCCTTCCTCCACCACCCACACCACACCCTCCACCACCCACACCACCTCCACCACCCACACACCTTCCCCCCCCACCCACACCACCTTCCCTCCACCACCCACACCACCCTCCACCACCCACACCACCTTCCTCCACCACCACACCACCTTCCTCCACCACCCACACCACCTTCCCTCCACCACCCACACCTTCCCACCACCCACATCACTTCCTCCACATCCACATCACCTTCCTCCACCACCTCACCACCTTCCTCCACCACACATCACCCCTCCACCACCCACACCATCTTCCACCACCCACATCCTTCCTCCACCACCCACACCACCTTCCTCCACCACCCACTCACCTTCCTCCACCACCACATCACCTTCCCTCCACCACCCACATCACCTTCCTCCACCACACACCACCTTCCTCCACCACCCACATCACCTTCCTCCACCACCCACACCACCATTCCTCCCCTCTTTTCCTTTCTTCAACGCCCCCACTCTTCCCTTTCTTTTCGACGACCCCACCCTTCCCTTTCTTTCGACGACCCCACCCTCCCCTTTCTTTTCGACGACCCCACTCTCCTCTTTCTATCAACGCCCTTCCCTACTTCTTTCTTTCAACGCCCTCTTCTTCTTTCAACGCCCCCCCCTTTCTTTCAACGCCCCGGACCCTTCCTTTCTTTCAATACCCTGTCAAGAAAAAAAAATATATACATTTCTCTGACCAAAATAAATAAATAAATATTATTTACCACTATAAATTTAATTATTTCTACCAACTTTAAATAAAATACAACCAAACAGATCCCTCATTCACCCTCTAAAAAACGGAACTCGCTTTGCTCAATAAAAAATAAATTAAAATTACATAAAGTTTTAAATAAATAAAAATTAGGGTGTTTTTAAGCCTAGTGACTTGAATTAATAACATCAGACACCCTAAAAAATCTCAGCGAGGCTCCGGGAGGTTGTCACGTCTCAAGTTTTTAATTGAGTTAAGATTACTTAAGAAGACAAGATTTTTACCTTATATATACATCTCTCTCTCTTCTCTAGGTATTGATATGACACTCTCTCTTTCTCTCTAAGTATTGACATGACATCTCTTCTCTCTAGGTATTGATATGACACCTCTCTCTCTCTATCTCTCACTTTTCTCTTCACTATGAATACACTTGGATGTTACCTGGTAAGTATATCCCTTAAACCAGGTGCTCATCAAGCCTTGGACCAGACAACACGCCATCCAATCTTCCTCGTAACCTACTTGAGATTCATTTTCTACACATACATACATACATACATACATACATACATACATACACATACACACACGCACACACAAACCTTTTTTTTTTACAAAAAAAGAATTGGGATAACAGGATAGGTGAGTCGAGCCTGGAGGGTGCAGAGAACAAGTCCACAAGACGATGGTGTGTTGTATGGGGAGGTGAGGGGGTGAGGGTGGCACTGCTGCAAGACTAGCATCATGGCACTACTGCAAGACTACATCATGGCACTCTGCAAGACTAGCATCATGGCACTACTGAACAGCATCATGGCACTGCTGCAAGACTAGCATCATGGCACTGCTGCAAGACTAGATCATGGCACTGCTGCAAGACTAGCATCATGGCACTGCTGCAAGACTAGCATCATGGCACTGCTGCAAGACTAGCATCATGGCACTGCTGCAAGACTAGCATCATGGCACTACTGCAAGACCAGCATCATGGCACGCCATTACTGCAAGACTAGCATCATGGCACTACTGCATTCAGCATCATGGCACTGCGTAAGACCAGCATAATGGCACTGCAAGACTAGCATCATGGCACAACTGCACTAGCATCATGGCACTGCTGCAAGATCATGGCACTGCTGCAAGACTCATCGCTGCAAGACTAGCATCATGGCACAACTGCAAGATCGCGGCACTATGGTGATTAGCATCATGGCACTGCGCAAGACTAGCATCATGACTACTGCAAGAGCGCGCATTGCAAGATGCTGCAGATTAGCATCATGGCACTACTGCAAGACTAGCATCATGGCACTGCTGCAAGACTAGCATCATGGCACTGCTGCGAATGCACTGCAAGACTAGCATCATGGCACTGCTGGAAGACTAGCATCATGGCACTACTGCAAGACTAGCATCATGGTACTGCTGCAAGACTAGCATCATGGCACTGCTGCAAGACTAGCATCATGGCACTACTGCAAGACTCAGCATCATGGCACTACTGCAAGACTAGCATCATGGCACTACTGCAAGACCAGCATCATGGCAATTACTGCAAGACTAGCATCATGGCACTGCGCAAGACTAGCATCATGGCACTACTGCAAGACTAGCATCATGGCACTACTGCAAGACTAGCATCATGGCACTCTGCAAGACTAGCATCATGGCACTACTGCAAGACAAGCATCTACTTTCAGCATCATGGCACTGCTGCAAGACTACATCATGGCACTACTGCAAGACTAGCATCATGGCACTACTGCATTCATGGCACTACTGCAAGACTAGCATCATGGCACTACTGCAAGACTAGCATCATGGCACTGCTGCAAGACTAGCATCATGGAATTACTGCAAGACTAGCATCATGGCACTACTGCAAGACTAGCATCATGGCACTGCTGCAAGACTAGCATCATGGCACTACTGCAAGAGCTAGCAAGCATCATGGCACTACTGCAAGACTAGCATCATGGCACTGCTGCAAGACTAGCATCAAATCACTGCAAGACTAGCATCATGGCACTCTGCAAGACTATCATGATATTGATGCAAGACCAGCATACTGCGAAGACTAGCATCATGGCACTGCTGCAAGACTAGCATCATGGCACTACTGCAAGACCAGCATCATGGCACTGATGCAAGACTAGCATCATGGCACTACTGCAAGACTAGCATCATGGCACTGCTGCAAGACTAGCATCATGGCACTGCTGCAAGACTACATCATGGCACTACTGCAAGACTAGCATCATATACTGCTGCAAGACTAGCATCATGGCACTACTGCAAGACCAGTATTATGGCACTGCTGCAAGACTACCATCATGGCACTGCTGCAAGACCAGCATCATGGCACTGCTGCAAGACCAGCATCATGGCACTGCTGCAAGATTCAGGCTCCAGCATCATGGCACTGCTGCAAGACCAGTATTATGGCAGTGCTGCAAGACTAGCATCATGGCGGACTGCTGCAAGACCAGCATCATGGCACCGCTGCAAGACTACATCATGGCACTGCTGCAAGACCAGCATCATGGCACTGCTGCAAGACCAGCATCATGGCACGGCACGCCGACAGTGTATGGCACTGCTGCAAGACCAGCATCATGGCACTGCTTCGCAAGACCAGCATCATGGCACTGCTGCAAGACCAGCATCATGGCACTGCTGCAAGACCAGCATCGTGGCACTGCTGCAAGACTAGCATCATGGCACTGCTGCAAGACTAGCATCATGGCACTGCTGCAAGAAGACTAACTTCACAGCACTACTAAAAGAATTAAATTAAACGGTGCACCAAGCCACAGCTGTCAGCGGTGGGAAATTAGTGGAGCAGCAGGAGGTATTGTTAACAGCAGCAGCAGCGTCATCAACCTTAACAGCAGGAAAAGCACAATCAATAGTACTATAACAGCAGCAGTAGCAGTACCATTACAGCACCGTAAACAGCACCATCACAGCAGTAGCAGTACCATACGTACCGTGAACAGTACCATATGTGCACCACAGCACCACCAGAACAGCAGTAACGGCACCATTACAGCACCATGAACAGCACCATCACAGCAGCAGTAGGAAACTGTCACAGTGAGTTAAAAAAGTTATGGCGTCTGAGTCGTGACCAGCACTTCCTCCTTCCCTCCCTCCTTTTTCTTCCTTTTCTTCCCTCCTTCCTTTTTCCTTCTTCCTCTTCCTTTTTTCTTCCTTTTTCTTCCTCCTTCCTTTTTTTCCTTTCTCTTCTTCTTTCCTTTTTCTTCCCTCCTTCTTTTCTTCCATCTCTTCCTCCTTCCTTTTTCTTGCTTCTCTTCCTTCCTTCCTTTTTTTTCCTTCTCTTCCTCCTTTCCTTTTTTCTTCCTTTTCTTCCCTCCTTCCTTTTTCTTCCTTCTTCTCTCCTTCC